CGAGGAGACACAGCTGCCTTCTCTGGCTGGTTAAGTATTGTGTGAGGGCTTTTAATGCTACTGCATATATTATTCCAGTGCAGGATTAACTATAAAGGTACCTAGAGGATTTCTGTGTGTCATTTTTCCTCACTAGCACATACAGTTATTTTATTCATTCTGTTTGGGGGGCGAGGGAGAAGGGTTGGTTGTTTTTTACTTCTGCTTAACTGTAAATGTCGTCTTAAATCCCAGTAAAATCAAAGATACTTGAGCATAGGCTTAATTGCTGTATCAAATAAAAGAAGCGTAAATACTTGCTTAAGAGCTTGCCTAAATTAGGAGCTTATTTTGAACTGATCACAAACATAATATTCCCTCAGATCCTTGTCAGACAGTTCAACAAAGGACACACGAATCATAGACAATTCAGAGATGCTTCAGGGCAAACTGTTCTAACCCTGTTCCTATGGTTTTTAACATTATGTTTTTTATACTTACATTGCCAATACTCAGAAACATGCTGAAGGATCTCTACGTATTTCTACTCCATTGGAAAAATATACTTAATAGTTAGTAGAAAAAGTGAAGATGTTTGTATGAGTTTCAGTCATGACAAGTGGTTCTTTACATTCCTCAAACAATGCTTCAAGTTCAGTTTGTTCATAAATGCAATTTTTGTCTTAATGGCATGAAATCAACAAAAATGACATTTAGTTTCTCATAGTAATAATTTACCACCATTAACGATAAGGAAACCCACTATTTCTTTTGTATAATTAATGAAATTACGCTCAGGGCTGTATTTCTGTGAACTACAAATTATTCCCATTACTAACAGAGAAACGATAAGAGCAATGGAATTGGTGTCATTAAGAGAACTAATACTGTGGATCAATGTCTTATTTACTACTGCAAACTAAACCACAGCCTATCAGGAGCCAGCTTGCTCAAAAAGATGCTGATACACTTCCAACCATTAAGGCTATGTAAAAGATTCAATAAATGCAGCAATTGTTGCCGACTTTTACAGAAAACTGGCGGGCTCATCCTACTGTGTTTCGTATTAAAATGGCTCCATTGACAGCAATGGTTTCATGGCAATTTCAGTCTGAAGCCAGACCTATTCCTTTTTTTTTCATTAGTAAGTTAAATTTCACATAGACTGAATTGCAAATCCATCCAAACTCAACTCTTGAAACTAACCTGCTACATACTCTTCCTTTACTTTTTTTCCCACTATGATAACAATTCACTGTTTAGTGAATCAGTGCAGGACAATCAACAAAACTTCTTGCTGTAAATGGGAACAAGCTGCAGTATCGTAGGCTTGTTCATATACATGTGGCACTATATACATTCATAGTGCCAAATAAGTGCTATTTATGAATGTAAAAACTAATGATTCTAATTAATATATTGAAAATCCACTATTTAGTAACATTAGGATTGACACCTCATTATAGTACACCATTTTTTGTGGGCATAAGTCCATTAAGTGAGGAACGTATTCTAATTATATCTTAATATTATGCCTGGAAATCATATATATCATGTGGAATTTTAAAGGAAAAGCTACGTAAGTCCTCATTAAAACTAAAAAATTGTTTCTCTTTTCTGAACAAATCTGCAAAGAAGTTTTGACATTGAATGTGGGTGGGTTTTTTTTCCTTTTTCTGGAACAATGTCATTTTTGTGGTTATTCTATTACTGCTAACCATCTTATACCACAGAATAGTTCATTTATTTCTAATACTACTATACAGTACTCTTGTATTTCCCCCCTCAAATTCTATTGGAAAATCTCACCTTGTAAAAATAATTTGATGTTCTTCTAGTAGCCATTAATGCTTGTTTTCTATATCAGTCCATATGGCATTATCACCTCAAGACTCAATATGTGGGTACTCAACCTATCTTCCCATTATAAGTTATCAATCACAAAAAATAACATGCTTTATATTTGAAGTATTATAATCTTTCATTTTCTGCTCATTACATTTTTTCTATCTATGCAACTGCTGCATAGTCATTGCTCTGGTCATTTTTTTCACTCTCCTGTGGGCTGGTGATTGTCACCCTTGGATTTGTGGATGTTTTTTCAAGATGGGAATCAACCTAGAGAAAAAGGACAGGTACTGTTAACTTCATCGGGTAACAAAGATTTCACTTCATTTCGATACAGTGTTAGCACTTCATACTAAAATTTCCACAAGGTATTCTTAACGTGAAAAAGTGTTTTCCGAGACTGATCACGTTAATATTTTTATTTACCTTATACTTACATACTTCCAAAGAAGAAAGTACTGAAATTAGAGGTTCTCCCCCAGTTTTTTCATCAAACACCCAGTTACCCATATATCCATTTAAAGTGAATGCTCACTCACTTTCTCCGCTTCCATAAATAACCTCAGCTTTTCTAAAAACAAACCAAAAAAATCCATATATCAAGCACAGAATAAATTCAGGGCCCAAGAAAATGCCACGTTACTCAGCTCTCTTAACTGAAAAATGTTCTTGTGTGTCATACAGAAACAGAAGAAAGCCCAGTTACAAGGTACAAGAAATCATTCCCAGTGTCACAAGAAGCAGAAGAAGAGTCTGTTTTTCCTGCCTATAGGCAGGGAATATGCAGCAAGCTGTTCTGCTTCTGATGCTCAAGAATCCCATTCTTCCCAGATCTGGATTCTCCCCATCAAACAATACACTTTGTTTCCCACATTCTGTTCGCTGGTCAGTTCATCTGACAGTCAGGGTAGTCCACGTTATTCTTCTGGGCTCCATGCCTCCATCTAAGCTAACAGCAAGTTACTGTGTCTCCTAAATTAATGGGATATTTGCTTTTAAACCAACTAAAGCCCCTTGCTTAGAGGATCTTGTCCACCTCCACCGTCTTCTCCAATTTCTAAGAAAAGGAGATGAAACTTCCACAAAACAATGGCAAGAGCCCTTTATGAAATGCAACTTCTGTGAAAGTAAACTCATCAAAGAAATGAAGTGCTGTGGTTTCATGAACACACCCTTCTGCTCTGTCCCAAAAGACAATGTAGTGTGGAAATATATATTGATTATGCTTTTCTGGAAATTGCAAGAAATTTTTTTATTACTTTTTTTCAAAATTCGGCATACTCAGGAAAGCAGGAGATGCAGATTCATCAAATAGTGAGAAACATCTGCCTTCTCAGTTGGAGGCCATATAATGTAATTGCTGATGTAACTGATCTATACAGATAGAAAACAGCTTTTCCCACCAACTGAAATTCTTGTAAATGCTCTCAGGACCTTATCAGGAGTGAGCTACTTAGAGACTAGATGAGAAGCCTAAGACTGAGATGAATGAGGAACGATAACTTAAGAACAACAAACTGAAAGAATAAACACTCACCTGGTTCTGACTGTCAGAATCCTCTTCTTTTATTTCTTCTTCAGGCTGAAGATCACCTTGGTAGTTCAAGTGCTCCATTCCTTCACCATTTTCTTCATTTTTCTTGCCATTTAAATGGACAAGTTCCTCTTCCTCTGCTTGGTCAACATTCTCTGTTTCTTCTGCTTCATCTTCATAATTCTCATTTAATTTCTTCTTGTTTTCTTCCACTTCACTTCTTTCTTTAACAGTTTCCCCACTTTCCTCTCCATTCAGTTCTGGATATTCTTCCTCTCCTTTATATGCCTCCTCACCCCTGTCATTTTCCTCTTCTGCATTTTCTTCTTCTTCTACAGTTTCTGCTGGCCTCTGGTGAAAGGAAAAGCAGCAGCATTATGAGGCATTTTTAATCAGAATGCTCCACGCAATTCTGAAAAGTGACGGACATCAAAGTCACAATTACATCATTACTGGGGAGTAAGTATGCTAATTTGAGGTTTGTCTACATGGACAGAAAATGATACTTCTGTACTAACACCCCATAATGCACTCTTATTCTACATAAAAAAAAATGTGTTAGTGAGATTTAAATGTATTACACTGGGTTAATCCATTTGACCATACTCAAAACAACTGGAATGAGCTAGATTTAATTAATACATCAACCGCTATTTTGTTCCAGCTATTCCAGGTTCTCTGACATTCTAGCATTTAGTACATACTGGTTTATAAAATCCTGTCACAATAAAATATCATATATCACTAGCCCACAAACTGTTCCCCAAGAAGCATTTTACCTATGGACAAGCCCATGCCATGCCAATTGGTCCTGTTGTGCAGCCTGTCTTCTTTGCATCCACAGAAAACTAGCAAGAGAGATGAGGTAGACCTACTGGTCACTTCCATAACATCATTCCCCTTCCCAAAGACCCCTATGTAGGGTGGCATGGTTAGGATTTGTTTGACATTTAGCAATTAATTTTTCCTACACAGAGTCAGACCAGCAGACAGGAGGAACAGGATCTTGTCCCATATTGAAGAAGAGAAAGCAGAAACTCACTATAGATAAAGCTGCTAGCAGCATCATTTCATGACAACCAGGAGGACTGATGCACATACTATCTAGTTTTTGTCATTCATCTTCCAGTTTCAGCTTTGAAGATTCACCTGATTATTCAGTGAAGCAGTGCCCCTGCTGCCAAGATGACTTATGGTACTTGTGCTAAGGTTTGAATGAAAATAAAGAGAAAAAAAATCCCACAGGAGTGACAGGTTGTCTGCCTCCCCCACAGCCTCATCAGACTCTAAATCTAAAGCAAACAAGCTGAGAGCAATAGATTATCTCCTAATCAAAAGTGTTTGGAGTTTTACTATCATTAGCAGCTCTTTCATGCAGGCAGCTATCTGCTATAGACCTGTAAG